GAATAGGCAGCGTTTTCTGGCCAGAGTGCTGAAACCCCCACAATGCCTACCTTGGAAGGTGCTGGAGTGCTGGCATGCCAAGAAAACAAAATGAGAGCAGGGGGTACATGGCAGGATGCCCTTCTTGCCCCGTGCCCCCCAGCTCTGCTGCCCTCCAGCCTGGGCTCCGTGGCTAACAGCAGCTACCCAGAACCTGGGCCAGCTGCAAACACTTGTTGCCTCTCCACCCCAGACCCAGCTCGGGGGAGGCAGCATATACTGCCAGTGCTCCCTGCTGTGCTGCCCTCGCCGTTTCTGCAAAGCAGCATTTGAACCTGGCGTGGCAGGACACAGCACGGGGTGCAGAAAGCTGCCTGCTCCCCACTGCCATGTCACACTTCCCCTCTGTGCACGGGAGTAGTGTGGGGGCTGTGCCCCTCACTGCTGCCCCTGGCAGTGTGGCAGGCAGCTTTCTGTGCCCCACACTGCCCTGCCGGGTTCCAATGCTGCTTTGCAGAAGCGGAGAGCGCAGCACAGCGGGGAGCATTGCTGGTATGTGTTGCCTCCCCAGGGCTGGGGCTGGGAGGTGGGCTGGCAGGGTGGAGAGGCAGCAGATGTTTACAGCTGGCCCAGGTTCTGGGTAGCTGCTGACGGCCATAGAGCCTGGGCTGTCTGCAGCAGGACTTCCATGGGAGCAGCCTGGGTTCCATGGCTATCAGCAGCTATCTAGAGCTGGGGCTGGCTGCAGCTGGGAGGCTACGAATAGCTGCTGCCTTGCAGCCCCACTCCACAAAGGCAACAGGTGCTGGCACTTTGCCCATTGGGGCTGGGGAGGCAGCAGCTGTTTGTAGCCTCCTGGCTACAGCTGGCCCCTGCTCTGGGTAGCTGCTGATAGCCATGGTGCCTGCGCTGCTCCCAGCAGGGCTTGCAGCCTCCCAGCTGCCTGCTGGGAGCAGCCCGGGCTCCCGACTGGCAGCAGCTACCCCAGGGGCAGGCAGTTACGTCGGGCGGAGGGCTGCTTACCCAATTTTGGCAAGCTGTTGAGGGCAGCATGGGTAGCCCCAGTCTCTGGTCACCATCTTGGGACCAATGTCTCAGGGCCAGTGCTGGTGGGGCCCAGAGTGGGGTGCAGGTTGGCAGGGTGTATGGAGCTGGGCTGGGCTGCACCAGCATGGAGAGTGGGGAGCTGATCCAGCTTCATGGGGCCCTTGCCAGCTAGGACCCCTGTACTCCTGCTGTCCTGCTCTGGGCCCTGCTGGCACTGGCCCCAGGACACCAGTGTGGGCCCTGTGCACCTGTTCATTTCTGCTGCCCCCCCAGCCCTGTGATACAGGCGGGGGGCAGCGTGCAGCCCTGACCCCTTTTGCTCCAGGGCAGGGAAGGAGCTGGTGCTGAGCATGGGGAAAAGCAGCTCCTCCCCCACCCCATGGCCAGTGTTCACTACTGCAGCCGCTCACAGCCCATGCAGAGCTGTCCTGAGCAGGCACAGGCAGCTCCACATGGGCTGTGAACAGCTGCAGCACAGGGTGCTGGTCACGGGGCGGGCAAGGGCCTGCTTTTCCTGCACTCAGCACTAGCTTGTAACCTGCCCCTGCTGCCAGCCTAGGTCCCATGCAGGCTCTGGGCTCACCCATCGGGGCTGCGCATGGCAGCAGCAGCTGCAGTCCCCCGCCGGTTGCCACACCAGGCAGTGTTTGCCACTGCTGCCTCTGGGCTGCCCAGTGCGCGAGCTCCGGGCAGGCAGCAGCAAACACTGCCTGGCACAACAAGCGAGCGGGCTGCAGCTGTCGCTGCTGCGGCACAGCCCCAATGGGTGAGCCCAGAGCCGGCGCGGGGCCCAGGCTGGCAGTGGAGGCATGTTACAAGCTGGTGCTGAGCATGGGAAAAGCAGCCCTGCCCTGTGCCCCCCACTTGCAGCCCATGTGGGGCTGCCTGTGCCTGCTCAGGACAGCCCCATGTGGGCTGTGAGTGGCTGCAGCAGGGAGCGCTGGCCACAGGGCTGGGGAGGGGCAGCTTTTCCCTGAGCTCCTTCCCTGCCCTCCACCCCCTTACCTGAGTTTCCAGCGTGGTGCAGCCACATGGTCCCAGGCCTCAAATGCCTGGGGTTACTGACCCCTGTAGTACTGCATTTCTTATAGCAGTCAACCTTTTTTGGCAGGCATGGTACAAATTAGCCCTGCGCTCTTTTCCAGGTGCCACTTGGACCCCCTGTTCTGCCTGGTATGCTGCTCTGCTTTTTGTTCTCTATTCTGTGCTCCCTGCCCAAGCTTGTACTCTACTTTCTGCTTTCCTGCCCTACCTGCCGCGGTGCTGCCTGATCTGTTCTATGTCACACACAGAAGACTGCCCGTACCACTTGTGGTAGTCATGCTGCAGGTTGGCCACCTGTGCCCTATAGTTTAGTAAGCTATTACAGTTGTTCACAAAGGCTCAAGTTCTGGCACTGTTAAACTCACCTCAAAATGTGTGGCCTGAATTTGTCTTGCTTTTAACAAAATAATTTATTTGGTTTTATTAATTTGTTTTGGTCTCTCTTCTGTCTTAGAGAAGGCATAATCAAAGACATGGAAATTTGGGAATCATCAGGACAATGGATGTTCTCCTGTTATGCACCTATGAAAGAAAAGCCTAATATCTCAGGTAGTAATGTTCTAGTGCCAGCATGCAATGTTATTACCAAGAAAGGCAGTGTTCTTTTAAGGCCAAAAGAGAGCCAATTGCATTATAGAAATGCGTGAGACAAAGCCCTTCCACTAAAGAGCTCTTGCTTCAAGCTTACATCTGGTTGTATAACTCAGACACTTGTACTTCAGTGGTGCTTCCCAAAGTCAGTAACATGTAAGACTTTTGAGCATCAAAGCACAGCTTATTACCGCACTCTCTTATTACATAGATTACATAGTTGGTAGGGTTGGAAGGGACCTGAGCAGATCATCAAGTTCAACCCCCTGCCATGGCAGGAAAGAGTACTGGGGTCAAACGACCCTGGCGAGGTGTTCATCCAGCCTCCTCTTAAAGATCCCCAGGGTAGGAGCCAGCACCACTTCCCTTGGAAGTTGGTTCCAGATCCTAGCTGCCCTGACAGTGAAGTAGCGCCTCCTGATATCTAGCTTAAATCTACCCTCTGCCAGCTTGTGACCGTTATTTCTTGTCACTCCTGGTAGTGCTCGGGGGAACAGAGACTCCCCCAATGCCTGCTCCCCACTGACCAGTTTGTAAACGGCCTTCTCTTGTGGAGGCTGAACAGGTTCAGGTCCCTTAGCCTTTCCTTGTAGGGCCTGCCCTGCTGACTCCTGATCATGCAGGTAGCCCTCCTTTGAACCCTCTCCATGTTGTCCACATCCCTCCTGAAGTGCGGCGCCCTGAACTGGGCGCAGTACTCCCAACTGCGGTCTGACCAGTGCCACATAGAGGGGGAGGATCACCTCCTTGGACCTGCTTGAGATGCATCTGTGGATGCATGACAAGGTACGGTTGGCCTTCCTGACCGCTTCCCCACAGTTGGCCCATGTTCATTTTGGCATCAATAATGACTCCAAGATCCTTTTCTGCCTCTGCACTGACGAGAAGGGAGTTCCCCAGCCTGTAGGTATGCTGCTGGTTCTTCCTCCCCAGGTGCAGTACCTTGCACTTGTCAGTGTAGAAACCCATCCTGTTCTCATCCGCCCACCCTTGTAACCTGTCCAGGTCCGATTGTAGCCTATTCCTCCCTTCTAGCATGCCCACTTCTCCCCACATCTTAGTGTAGTCTGCAAATTTGAACAGGGTGCTTTTTACTGGCCCGCCCCCCCATCCAAGTTGCTGATGAAGACATTGAACAGTGCAGGCCCAAGGACTGAGCCCTGCGGAACCCCATTGCCCACATCCCTCCAGGTCAAAAATGACCCATCCACCACCACCCGCTGGGTGTGGCCCTCCAGCCAGTTAGCGACCCATTTGACTGTGTAGGTGTCGACGCCACAATCCCCTAGTTTTTTAATGAGAATGGGGTGAGAGATGGTGTTGAAGGCCTTCCTAATGTCCAGAAAAACTATGTCCACTGCTACACCTGCGTCTAAGGATTTTGTGACCTGTTCATAGAAGGCCACCAGGTTGGTCTGACAGGACCTGCCTCTAATGAACCCGTGTTGGTTGCCCCTAAACATAATCTCCCCTGCTGGCCCCTCGTGGACTTGCGCCAGGATAGCTCTCAAAAAGCTTACCCAGGACCGAGGTAAGACTGACTGGCCTGTAGTTTCCTGGTTCCTCCTTCCTCCCTTTTTTGAAAATGGGAACCACATTGGCCCTTTTCCAGTCCTCTGGCACCACACCAGAGCACCATGAGTGCTTGTAAAGCTGTGCCAGGGGTCCCACTATGACCTCTGCTAATTCCCTCAGCACTCTGGGGTGGAGATAGTCAGGACCTGCTGATTTAAATATGTTCAGTCCCTCCAGAAGTTCCCTGACTAGGTCCTCACTGACCCTAGGCCTGGGTGCGCTTCCCCTGGGACCTACGGGGGTCAGAAAAATGGAGGCAAAGCAATTGTTAAATAGGTTAGCTTAGCTGTCTGGTGCAACATTATTGTTTCTTCCTAACCTATTTTTTGCGTATGCCATTTTGAGTTTGTATGAATTTTGTACCTTTTTAAAAATACAATTATATTTTTAAATTGCCAGTGTAGATGATGCACTAAGGCAGGGTAACTCCTACCACACTTGCCAGTGTGGCGCACAAAGGCATCTTGCTTGCCACGCACACGTCGGGGCAGACAGCAGGGGAGTCCAGTGCCCTCTACCCCTCATCAGCCTTAAGACGCACATGTACCTGCCACCAGCAGTGAAGTGGGCCAAGGCTCTACAGACTCCAGTGCAGCTCCTTGCAGCCTCTCTGCCACGAGTAGCCTGAGCTTGGTGGCAGGAGCCTGCCCAGAGCCTGAGCTGACTGGCAAGCAGCTGGGAGCTGCACTGGGGTCTGAGGAGCCCTGGCCCAGCTCATTGCTGGCAGCATGTGCCTGCACACCTCAAGGCAGAGAGCAGGGAAGGGGCCAGGGCTTCATTGCCACAACAAGGATTGAGCCCCTCACGGCTCCCCCACTGTCCACCTCTGGCATACCAACATCTTACAAATCGAGATTGCAGGTGTTTTAGACATTCTGCCCAAAAACATTGTTGACCCCTGCAGTAAGGCCTCTTGCCTATAGCTTCATACAGATTCATTGGAAGCAGTATATATTTTTGTTTGAAGATTTTGTTTCTCTTCCTGCAGGTTTTCCAGACTTCTCACCAGAAGAATTGCATCTTGAGTACTATAACTGTAGAGCAAACAGTAATGTTCAGAATTACGTAAGCCTTTTAAAAAATATGGCAGGTTTCTGATGTAACATAGATACTCCAGAGAGATGGTCCCTTTAATTTTTTTAAGTGATGGTCATTTGACTGGTATACCAAATTCCAAGGACCTCCCTGATCTACAGCACTTATGCCCTGGGGAGCTCCCCAATCCCCAGCTCCCCTCTGCCCAGTAGATTCCCCACGTGTGGGAACATTTAAAGTCATGCTGTGCGGACTGATGCCAGGCTGCATGCCACATGTTCAAATTAGAAAGCAATACAAACTAGCTGTAAAGATGTTCCACATCTCAATGAAACACCTTTGTGGATATGGGACTTTTTTGTGGCTGATTTGCCATTTTTTTGATGCAATAAATTGCCGGAATGTGTGGCATGTTACAGTTTATTGTGTGAGGACTGAAGACTGCCTAACACACCAGAATTTTTTTTTTTTAAAAAAACAAAAACCTGTTGTGAATTCAAGATTGAAAACAAAGTTTTGAATTCTTGAACTCCCTTGTCTGTCTTTTATAAGAACTGATATCGGACAATATATTTTTCCAGTGTGTGACCAGGGACAACAGAATTATTGATGTGTTTGAAATATGTGTAATATTGAGATCTTTTGAATGGGTATAAAATCTATTTACCCAAAGATTAAGCATTCAGTCTCACAGGCTTCCTGCATATCATATAATTTTTCTTCTGTTAGTTACTAAAGGTAGTTCTTTTCAGTATATAGATACTTGAATAAAATTAGGTATGTTCATATTTGTTTATAAATGTTGCTTCTTGCTGCATACCCAAATCCTCAGTAGTTGTGCTTAAAGCATTAGAAAAGAAATTGGAAAATCGCTACGCATTATTTTTTTCGTTAAGACATGATTTTTCTATACGGACATGTAGTAGTTATTTCAGTGCATTGAGGGAATTGATTTTATTAGTGAAATCAAGTCTTTTCAAAAGAGACTTATGGAGTGATGCAACTAAATTTTCCTGCCTAGGGAATGGATGTTTTTGCAAGAACAGGAGAAATTAACTGAATTCATGGTGCTTTAAGCTAGTTGTTCAGCACATATACATAAAACCCAAGTTTTATTTCTAGATTTGAAGCTTGGCATTAATTTCTAATGACTTTTTTTTATGCCTAGTCCAGATAGTGGTAAGAAGTTGCATATGAAAAAATGAGTATTTTCTTTTGTTACATACTATATACGTTTGGTTTGAGAATACTGAGTTTCTTATCAGTATATTGCATCCTCACTTGTGTAATATGAGGGGTTTTGGAAAGGGAGTTGTTTTCTCTCTCCAGGTCTGTCTAATGGCTGTATTCTTTCATGTAATTTGAGAAATCCATTGTGAGTTTAATTTTAAGGTTATTTGATATTGTTTGCATCATTGGCACAGACCTCACATTTTTCTTTCTGCTCTTTTTTAGATAAATTCAGTCCAGCAGTTCATAAGCCAATGGAGAAATAGATTGCTTGAGCTGAAGACACTAAATGCATCAACCAAATCAGCATTGGTAAGTGCTATTGAAAAGTAAAATATTTGTGTAGGATGCTTCTTTTTCTTAATCTTAATGGAACATTTCACTTGGATTCAAGTTTCATTAGACTTATCACATCAAAATGTTCCATACATGCCAAAATTAGTTGCTTCCACAATGATTGTTAATGGGCCAATTCAGAGAGATGGTGTGCTATGAAAAAACTTATTAGTTTATTCTGTGCTTCTGATCTTAGAGATCTGGCCAAAGTTCCATCTTCAGGAAGTGCACATGATCTCATCAGGGTATTTAGCCATATATTTTCTATTAACTTTAAATTCCCCATCATTGCTTTTGAAGATTTCATCAAATATTACTTAACTAAACATTTTAAACATCTTTGGAAGTCTCTTGCACTTAGGGCTGAGATTTGAAAATATTTACTTCTAGTTGCTGTGGCAATTTTAATGGAAGATATGGTTAAAGCCTCTGTGCTATTATAACGTATACCGAACTGTATATTTTCTTTTATTGTCAGTGTTATTTTTGTGCAAAGGCTTTAGTGCCAGAAAGCCTGGTTGAGTGGCAGTGGAGAGACAGGTGGGTAGTAGTTTTAAGGCAAGTCTTGAATAATCCTTTGGGTATATTGAGCAGAAGGTAAATAATTGGGGTGAAAGGGCATGCAAAAAGAAAAAGATCTAGGTATGAAAGCAGCACTAGCTTCACTGCATGCACCTGACATTTAGAGGGAAAATAATCACAGGACTTCTCATCCTTTTCCCACCTTTCTCTGGAATCAACCATTCAAACTGGTTATTTACTAAAATATAATGGTAGATATTAGATAATTATAGAAAATTAAGGAAAAGGTCAGTTATAGAATTTTCATAATGCAGTATGAGGAATTGATGTGTAGTCAAGAGAAACTGCTCAGATATGTGAAAAGATGGCTTGGACAATGTCAGAACAGCCTACATCTCTTTCTGAACACACGTTTCATAGAAGAAGAATCAAATCAGTAATGCCAGAACTGAAAGTAGAAACGAGAACTAAGTGAACAAGTAGAGGCTGTGAGGTTAAGCAAGGAATTTCATTTTGAGTGGTAATCCACTTGAGGGGTTTGAAAATGTAAACATTGTGATCATGTCCTTTATATATTTGCTGATGGCTGTCTGTTCTGTCTGTGCTGGAGGTTGGAGTGGTTATAGTGTACTTAAACCCCAACAAAATTATGTTTTTTCAAGGTGGGATATCAGAGAAATTGGTAAAGTAGTAATAATATTGCAAAGACTAAATTAGATGAGAAAGATGTAAACATACTTATAGATCAGTAAGGTTGCAGAACTTGTGCTTTTGTTGTATTTTATGGTGCAGATGTTTTAATTACAAAATAGCGTTGTCAGTATATAGATCATAAAAAGATGCAGGTTTCCCTCACTTTAGATGGGTTCTGTATGTGTGAATTTGCTCTTATGCAATGACCCTTTTTACACCAAAAATTTGTTATATGTGAGGTAAATTCACTCTTATATGATCTGTGTGGTGGAAGCCTGCAGTCAGCCGCTTTGTGCAGTGCATTGTGGGAGTGACGCACAGCAAAATAGTCTCCTGTGTGGATCTGTGCTCCTCACTCATTGTCTATGACGCATGTTTCTGTAGTTGCCATCCCCATTAAGATAGTGCCCTGTGCTTGTGTGTACTGCCTGCTTTTGGTGAGTACCAAAGTTGTTTTGTAAAAGTGGTAGAAATGTGTCTGGGGGTCAGTACAGTATAAGTCTTGGAAGGTATCCCTATTTGTTACATTGTAAAGTGGATTCCCTTTATGCAAATTCAAGTTGTGGCATTTTCCAGGAACACGTGTACAGCATAAAGCGAGGGAAACCTGTATACCAGATACTTTCATCAATTTGAGCTACAAGGGTAGCTGTAGATGTGCCAGCACACTGTAATTACACAATTAATTGTGTCTGTTGGAGCATGATAATTGTCAGGCTTCAGCCAGCTTCTGTATCTTGTGCATCAGTGTCTCCGCACTTCAAAACGTTAGTGGGGGCACTTTAAAGTACCCCAACTGCCATTTTTTTTTAAGTTGGATTTCTGACTGTATCAAAAGTTTTGATTACCCATTTTTATTGTTTCCCTTAATTTCATGCATTTCCTGCTTTTCCCACATTTTCTTTAAGTTATCTGAATTGAAGAATGTGGTTAGTGCGCCACTGCCTTCATTTGGATTTGGTGGACAGCAAACATCAAGCTTTGGGTCATCAAGTAAGTGTTTTGTGTTAAGAATTAATGCTATTAAATCTTGGCTTCTGTTTTTTTCCAATATTTCAATAAAGTAGTGCTCTAATGTCATGTCTGTTCTAAAAGTTTACCCTTGTGTTTTTATAATTTCAGACTTTACCATACAAAGCAGCAGCATTAGCAGTCCTAACAATTTCTCCTTTAAGTCGAATTCTGTTAGTGCATCATCTGGAAGCACTCCAGCATTTGGGAGCCCTTCTACAGTTCAGGGTCCTTCAGCATTTGGTGTGACATCATCTTCTAGTACACCATATTCTGTTGCCTTTGGCAGCCAGCCAACTATATCTGCAGCTTCTTTTTCATTTAGAAACCCCCCTGAAACTACTGGTGGTTTTGGAACGTCTGGATTTTCAGGATTTGGCAGTTCCTCTACTGTAAACTCCTCTAGCACGACCTCAGTTCCATCCTTTGGAGCTGTTAATACAGCTGTAGCTGCTCGTACCTCAGACACGGGTAACACTTTATTTGGACAATCTTTCAGTGCCTTTGGACATAGTGTTACATCAGCACCTTCTGTCATCACAAGCAGCGGTACCTCAGAAAAATTATTTACATCAAAGACTGATCTATCAGCTGAAGAGTTAAAGCAGTTTGAAGCAAAGAAGTTTACACTGGGAAAGATTCCTCTTAAGCCACCCCCAACAGAGCTTTTAACCATTTGACATCCACATATCCAGTTGGCAAATCTTGAAATAAAGGACCAACTTTACAGAATGATTATAATCGTAAAAAGCTGACATTTTCCTTAAGCAATTCTAAATATTGATGTTTGGCACTGAATTGAAATGCTTTCATGTGAATTTAAATGTCCCCTGTAAGTTGTTTTAGCATGTAGAATCGCAACTATGTTTCAGTGTTCCTTGTTTTGTTTTGGAATGAGTTGACTTAACTTTTACTGGAATCTACATTCTTGGTTTAGGTATAACTGCTTAAAGAAAGGCACATTGTTTTCCTTAAAAAATAGCAGTATACTATTTCTCTTTTATTACCCAGACAGAATAAACATAACATCAATGGCTCGTGTGTCCTAAGCTTTTTATTTTTCTTTGTCCAGTGTTCTGTTCATAGACTTAAAACTTAAAAGCCAGTAGATACGGATAAACCCTAGGTATCAGAAAACATGAGAAAACTGAATTGTTTCGCTGATAATTTGTTTTAAAGTATCCTCGAAGCTACCAAGGCACATAGCAGACAATAATGTTTAAACCTGTTTGTTTATCTGTTACGCTTTTGTAGTTCTAAAATATTCACCTTTGCAGACCTTGCTAAGCTTCGCTCTTGTCAAACGTTATTTAAGTAACCATGAACCCCCCAAAAATGGCAACAGTGTCATGCTAAAAGATTTCATAAATACCTGAATTCATACAAATATAGACTGTAACCATAACATTCGTAGATGAGAGATCGACAGGAAAATAATAAAAAGCTGTAGGAGTTGATATTTCTCCATTCGGTGTTAAAGCACTTCTCTTAGTATGATAGGAAACACTAATGAAGATGTCTGTATTTTGGGGTGAGTCCTAAAAATGAGATTCCAATTAGCTGTGGTCATTGAAATCCCAACGGTATGTTTAAGATTAATCTGGCTATTTATTCTATTCTAAATTCTGATTGTAATTTTGAAGGCATCTGTTCTTTCAATTGAATGCCTTTTTCTTCACTTCATATCCTAATGCTTTGTCATTTTACCAATGATCAAATAATCCTTTAAGTAGAAACTAAAATAGGCTGCATCTGGTAAATACATAAGCCACCTTTTACTGAGTTGAACTGCTTTACATATAGGCCACTTCAAGAGATTTAAGCTTCTGTAACCTCAATGTTGCTGCTGTGCTACTTAAAGCTTGTAGCAGCTTAGCATTGAATTTAAGTGCAGAACTGTCTAAGACCTTTAGCCCCTTTTAGGGTGTCTCAGTAGGCTACTGCTAAGCTGTTTTTAAGAACTTTTATGCTTAAGAAGCCAACAGCTTCTCACAAAAATTGTTTTTGCTTGTACTTCCTTTTTCTAAACAGTTCTAGGACACTGAGAACCTAAGTAGAAAAGTCTAAGGTGCATGACTAAAATGCCAACATGAGCATGACATATAGGAATTTTTCTTATAATGGTGACCTTTGAAAAATCAAGTTTGGTGTGTTTTAACTTTCTTGAGGGCTAATAAAAAAATTAAAGGGTTAAGAAAAATAATTCTATTTGGAGTACACAGTAAAAGGAACATTTCCCAGCAACTACCTCAAATTATTGACATGCCTTTGATCAACTTCTATTTACAGAAACAATATATTACCATTGATCTGATGCTACACATCATCCTAAATGGAATGTGTAAGCAACTCAAACAATATTGGGAGGGAGGGAACAGACTAAAAGTTGGCATTCCACCTTAACTAGTAACAGGTGTGTGCGGGCTGGGAGCAGTCCGAGGCCCTCGGGGGCTTTTGCAGCGGGCTGTGGCCAGCAGCCCGGACCTGTCGGGTCGGGGAATGCAGGCCGGCGTGCTAGAATTAGGCACGGACGCTTAGCAGTTGATTAAAGATTATTTTACTTACACCGAAGATGGTCGCGGTGCAGGCAGGAAAACTTGCTTGGGTTGCGGTTACAGACAGAAAAGAAGAGAGGCGGACAAGAGTTCCTTCCACGCGAACCTCTAGCCCAATCCGGTTGAAGGCTCTAAACATGCGAGCCCGTCGTGTCAACCGAAGAAAACAACTTGAAGCAGAGAGCTCTGGATACACTCACACGAAGTTTGCTAGGCTCCATGGAACTTGCGTGCAGGGAAGGGGTTCGTCGAGGGATCATTCGGCGACAAGGAGAGGCCAGAGGTTGATCAGACCCCTATAGCCTTCTTGAGATACACGCTGGGTCCAATAGGCTCTGCAGTGCTTAGAGATCTTCACGAGACGTGAAGTTCTCCTCCTCCAGATGGTTGTGGAGTGGAGGACTCCACTTGGGCGGAAACCCCTCAAGCCTCTTACACGGCTAGCAAGCCAATCGCTAGCCGCCACGTAGGAATAATTTAGAGCTGGCCAATAGTGGGACACAAATTTGCATGTGAATGGCGGGAACTCCTTTGCACTGTGCACTTCTCTTTGCAACTAAGAAATGCACCCTGCAAAGAAAGCTCCTAGTAGCGGGAAATTTAGCAGTGCCAAAGCGCGCACAAACAAAATCACACCCTTGGGTTGTGACACGGTGAAGGCCTGAATGAGGTTGCTATGAAGGGGAGAGAGAAGGAAAACTAAAAATTGGTAGGCATTAGGGCAGTGGTCTCTTCAACTTTTTTATGGTGAAGATCACTTTTTGTAAGTAAAGGGCATCCTAGGATCTACCACCTCTGCCGCCCGCTTACCAGACAAACTGCCTAGGCTCTGATCCCATTCACCCAGCCCAGCCACGTGCATCCTGCTGCTCCCATTTGTGGAGCCTCTGACAGACTGAGATCAACTGTCAGAGGCTCCATGATGGACCACTGGATTAGGGCTACAGTGGGCTTGCTAAAAGACTGCTAATTATTTAAGTCAGAACACCTACACTGTTGAAAATGTTTCCCCACTGGAAAATCTAGTCTTTGTTCTACCTCAATTAAGCAGGTGTATAGTAAAAAGCAGAACAGGATTTCAAAAATAACTGTCAATCTGCACAGATTGCGGGGGGGAGCAAGAAACTTTTTCTAAGAACTAGAATTCTTCCTTTGGCCAATCAGGGCTCATGGTCTAATAAAAAAAATATCACCTCTACCAACTAAATTTTTGCAAAAAGTCTTTTAATTACAAGCTTTCAGGCACAAGCACCCTTCATCAGGCATCAGAGAAAAGATTGGAAAAGTTCTCCTGGGTAGAAATAAAAGTTCATATTTCATAGGATTTTGCAGAGGAGTCAATAGATGGAATACTCCTCAGAGTAAGCAGTTCTTAGCTGGTAAGGAGTCTCTCAGCTCTCTTGTGAGGCTCTGGGATGATGTAAATTACCTTGAAGCAAGGCAGGAGCAGTATCTCAGGTTTCAGGTGGTCAAAGTTGCTTCCTCCTGTGAATCCTATAAAATATGAACTTCCATTTTTACTTAGGAGAACTTCTAAAATCTTTTCTCGGATGCCTGATGAAGAGTATTTGTGCCTGGAAGTTTGCAATTAAAGAATTTTTTTGCAAAAGTCTAGGTCTAATAAAAGATATCACCTCTACCTTGAGCCCTGATTGCTTTTTCCTCTAGACCAGTACGGCTACAACCTGGATCCCATGAGCAATTGCCTCTTTGGCTTTGTTTGCCATCCAGAAAGTCATAGTTTTGGTTTGGAATGTAAAAATAACTGTCACATTGTCACTTACACATCTCATTTATCATGTTTATCTTTTATTAAAGCTAAATGTGACAAATGAGATTTAAATGTCATGATTGTCTGCAGAAGACTGTATGAAAGTAAAGAGTCTAAAGCAGGCAGGCAACCCCTGGCATGAGTGAAATAGAGGGGCTAGGGGAAGTGCAGGGCACTGTGGAATGCAACGCCTGACCCCCCACCTCTCCCTCCTGCATGGCGGTAGCGGGGCCATTGCATGCTATTGCTGTATACAGGGGAGGAGCACACAGTGGGGGAACTGGGTGTGGTGCTGCAACGGCAGGGCATGGTAATGGTGTGACTGGAGCTGTGTTTGGGGTGGCTAAGCCCCATTAGCTTGGCCTTCCACCACCTATGTGGCACACAGGCATTTTGCATGGCATGCATGCCTTGGGGTGGACAGCAGGGAAGGGGCCAGGGCTGTACTGTCTCAAGAATCAGGTCCCTCGTGGCTCCCCCACCATCCCCTCCTAGCACACCAACATTTTACATATTGAGGTTGTGGGTGTTTTTGGCACTCTGCCCAAAAATGTTGCCAACCCCTGGTCTAAAGGACTCAAGCCATAGTTTGACTCCATGTGATGTTTTCAAGTATTTCCCTTTCTTTGAAATAACAGAATTTATGAGTCACCGAAATTCCTGTGGTGTGGTACAAACAACTGATTTTAAGAATCTTTTGAAGTTTGCTTTGTGAGAGATCGCGGTTTAGTTCTCTGACATTGGCAGCTATGGGTTGGCTGTACCCCAGAAAGACTTGTCATTCAAAGGCAATCCATTACTCCACAAGCTAAGGAACAGGTCTAAGCATGCAGCAAATGACATTTTCTCTAGCCTTATTCAACCAGATGTTAGTAACAGTGATCTGAGGCTTCAACTATGAACAGCCAGTGAGGGAGAGGAAATAAGAGGTTTAGAAATAACAAGAAAAAATTATTACTAGGAATGTAGCTTTGTTTCAAGCTGAAATTTTGCTGAAAAATCAGGGGTGAAGAACAAGTTATAGCTTATGGAGTAAAGATACGGGCACCAAATGCAATATCTGACAGTAGCCAAAAGCATAAGGGAAATAAAGGCTTTT